GATCAGGAGGAAGTGTGGACTCTAGCTCCTCCTCATTGATAACAGGTGTCAACTACTCCTGATCCTTACCTGGCCAGCTTGCTGAGATAGGAAGCAGAGAGAATGAATGAAGAATTAGACAAGAATTAGACAATGTGATAATTTGATATATTTCCTAAAGAAACGAACAAGGGACTAAATTCTGCAATGCCACTTTGATACAACATTGAAAATTAACAAAGTTGATATAATTGTCTTAAATGGGATTTCTGTCAGGATTTTGTGCAAGAGAAAATGTTTACTTTTACTTTTTTACTTTTTAAAAACAGATTTTGAAGCTGAAAATGATTCCATTTTATTGGGATATTCTAGTGGGAGTAATTTTTTATTTCTTTCATTATTTGAGAATATTGACACATGATATAATTGGTTTACACTAAATCCATATAAGAAAATAGATGTGAAGTATTTGATTTGTAAGATTTTGTATCAGCAAAATGAAGAGTTTGTATCAGCAGGTTTGAAAAAACTAATAGAGTAGTTTTGTATGTCAAATCACAAATCAAATCAAAAGTATTGATGATGAAAATAATATATAAATTCAAGTGAATTTGAAATGCAAAGGACTAAATCTATAGTTGTTAGTCTTCATGTTTCAAATGAGGATAATGCAAAGATTTTAAATCACCTTATGAACCAACTGACCATATTCACATATGAGTACTTGGGTTTGATGAGGATTAGAATAGAGCTACCAGTTCTATCAACCCCACGTTTGATAGAACTTCAGACAAGAAAATTAAACTTAACCTAGGCGAATGACCCAAGTAATTATGTTAAGATATGGAATGAAGTTGAAGACATGTTTCAATGAGAAAAATTGCAACTGTCATTGTTGGGAAGAATTTCTATGATTAAGAAGAATGTTCTACCTAGAATGATATTTTTATTCTATACAATGTCTATATTGATGAGTGACGTAGCATTTAAGCAATGGCAAAATGTATTTCCAAATTTGGCTGGCATAGCAAGAAACTCAGAATGAAATACAATGATGCAGAATGCTAAAAAAGAGGGGTGTTAGAACTACCAGATTTAAATTTGTATTTTGCAGCTTGTTGTTAGAGTGGAAGGGTGACTTTTAGAAATAAGTGGTTATTGGAACTGAAGGACATGATTTTAGATTTGATTGGCACAGCTATATATGATACAATAAAGTTAATATAGATTAATTATTTTATTAGGAATGCCATAATGAGAATTTGGAATAGGTATAAGGCAAATTTGTTTCCTAAAATCTCTTTATGATTGTTACTGCAAAAAGCCTTTTTAGAGGGAAATTATATTTAAACAAAAATGTTTAACTTGGCTAATCTTCTGAATTTTTCCCAGGAGAATTTAAGTTAAAAACAAGAGAAAACTTAAAAGAGTTGAAAGGCTTGACAACTGTGGTGGTATTCTACTGGTTCAGCCCAGTTCAGGAGAACTGGTAGTAAACGAATGCTATGCTACCAGTTCGGCCAAACTGGTAGTAAAAAAATGCTACTGGTTCACCTGAACCAGTATTTTCAACAATCAGCTGTGCCGCGCAATTTAGATTAGCTAGAAAGCAGGAAATCATTGGATTTCTTGCTTTCTAGCTAATCTAAATCGTGCGGCACAGCTGATCCCCCTGCTGTTGTACTTACCTCGCCAGGAGGCTTCCCTGAGGCTCAGTAGGAAAAAAAAGGGGTGAGGGGAGGATGCTGCGAAAGGAAAAAAACCACCTAGCCATGCCCAGCCAGTCACATGACTACATGGCCATGCCCACCTAGCCACGCCCACAGAACCAGTAGTAAAAAAAATTGAATTCCACCACTGCTTTACAAGCCATTGTTTTCCTTATGTTAACAGAAAGATTTAAGTGTTTGAAAGTGAACGGAAAGATTTAAGTTTGATAAGAATTATGAATGTGAAAATGAAAGGATTGAATTTGATGAGTTGTGTACAAATGATAGTCATATTATTACTAATATCTAAAACTTTTACTGACAATGGAAACAGATGATTAACAAATTAAAATTTGTATGTTGAAATGAACAAGAAATGAATATAATATACAGTTGGATCAATGGGATGGGATGTGAATAGTTGAAATTATGTTAAATTATAATCTTAAAGAGAATTTAATCAAACTGATGGTATATTTTCTCCTCTCTGGTGTACATGCAAGGCTAAAAAACATTGGGGTTAAGTGTGTATTCTAACTCAGAAAATTTTAAAAGTGAATGTAGAATTGAAGCCAGAGATTTTTCTTTTGAATTTAATAGACAAACAAATGGAAACACCTTATGGAACTTTGCTTTTATATGTGAAAACAATAACTATACTTTCATATGCACAAAGATGGAAGGATTTACTAATACCCACAATAGAAAAATGGATGATGAAACTGATGGAATTGTAGAGATAGTAAAATTGGCAGCTTTGATTAAAGAAAAAACTAATTTTATTGTTCCTTAGAAACCACTTTTGGATTTTTTTGCAAGAAACTGAAAGAAATGAAATGTTAATTTTGGAATTTGATGTTTTGAACTATGTGAGATAATAGAAATAATGTTAACCTTAAAGTAAGAGTTTATTTTTTAAAAAAAATTCACATTTGTTGATCAAAGTCATTATTTTTCTTACTTTTTCTTTTTTTTCACACTTTCTTTCTTGATTCTTTTTCTTTTTTCTTATCTGTTTATCCTTGTTTTTGAAACTCAGTGAAGTTATAAAAATAAATTAAAATGCACAAATTCAGTAAAATTAAGATGAGTCCAAATGTGTAAAATAAAATTATATCTACAATAGAAATCCAATTGGTTTCTGTGTGAAATTTAAAGATTTATTGCAGTGAAAAGGTTAAATAAATATTCCTTAGGATAGAAATATATGTGGCAACAAGTATTATAAATTCAGAAAGATTTTGCAAAGCAATCTAGAGTGAATATCCACTGAAGTAAAACATGGAGTTATATTTAAGATAATTAATATGTAATCTGAGTAAATATAAGATAACAATAAAATAACCAATGAAACATGTAAAATAATACTATACTCATTCACCACCGAATTAGTATAGTCAAATATCTATATAATTATTTAAGTCAGGAAAAGGAAATAACTACAACTGTGGTAGTTAGTCCAAACTTTTTTTTAGCCAATCTCAGTTTCTCATTTGGATTACCCACATGAATTAAATTTCGAAGTTGGAAAAAGGCATGGTATAAAAAGAAGTTAACTGTTACTAAGAAGATGTAATGTAATAAAAGCTCAATATAAGATATAACAGATAACAGATAATCAGAGTTGGAAGGGACCTTGTATGTCATCTAGTCCAACCCCCCGCCCAAGCAGGAGACTCTATACCATTTCTGACAAATGGCAGTCCAATCTCTTCTTGAAGGTCTCAAGTGATGACGCTCCCACAACTTCTGAGGGCAAGCTGTTCAATTGGTTGATTGTTCTCACTGTCAGAAAGGTTCTCCTTATTTCCAGGTTGAATCTCTCCTTGTTCAGTTTCCATCCATAATTCTTTGTCTGGCCTACAGGCATTAAATAAAACTCATGTTCTTGTTTGGTGGTCTCTTGGGGTCTGATATCAATCCACTTTATGTGGTCATCTGTAGAGAAGGATGTAAATCTTCTTGAAGATTTATAAATCTATCAGGTTCACTGCCTCTAAGGTGCCCCTAATTATTATTTTTTCTTCTGTCTTGTACTCCTAACTGTTAACTAAGAATACTCAATACATAATTAGGGCACTAAGATAAAGATAAAAATAAGAAACTTTCTCCCTAGAGAAAGTTCCATTCCCACTTTAGGGAGCTACCACGGAATCCCATCTTAACTTTAAACAAGACCATTTGTTTGTCCTGCATCTCTTAGTTTCATTTTTGCTGAAGCACTTTTTTCGTATCATATATACATATTAAGCCCCCATCCCTTCAGTTAAAAATCTACAATTGTAATGTTTCCTCATAGAGAATATCATAATAAAATGGAGATAAATTATAAATATTATTATTTCTTATTTCTCCAAATGAGGGCCATTCTGAAGATGACTACTTGGAAAGCTATATAGAGCAGGGGTCCCCAACCGCCGGTCCACGGACCGGTACCGGTCCGCGGAACAAGCCTTACCGGGCCGCTGGTTGCTGGGCGCCGCCATCTTTTTTTGGTAAAAAAAGCAATTTTTCGTCAAAAAAGATGGCGGCGCCCAGCTGACGCCGGAACCGGGCCGCGGCGCCCAGCTGACGCCGGAACCGGGCCGCGGCGTCGAAAAGGTTGGGGATCCCTGATATAGAGAATGATTATTTAATATCTATTTTTTCTTCTGAAATTATACATGAGCCATAATATATGGTATCATTCCAATCAGTTAAGGTCAATTTCTTTCTTCTTCAAATTACTGACAACGAAGATGAAGAATAAAACTAGGGGTGTTCCCATTGCCACAGTGCAAGCTTCAAAGTGTAATGTTTAATTATGTTAGCTATAAAATGTAGAAACTGCCACACTCCAGAGATTCTAGGCTGTATTTGAAATAGGAAAAGTTGATGCTGGATTAATACCAATATTAGTTTGTTGGTAGAGCTGAGCATTTATTAGAGACAGTTATTAATTCCCATACAATAATTTCTAGAATACATTGTCATAAAACATAGTGATGGAGATTAATTTGATAACTTTTTAAGATACATGTAAATGATAAAGGGTCCAATGATAGACAGTAGAAAATTTATTCTAATTATACCAAAGTTTTCTATGAGGAAGGTATGTGGTTAAGAAGTTTAATAATAAATAAACAAATAGAACTTGTAGCCATCCATTGCTGAAACATTGAACTGCAATAAAGATCTTTTGATCTGACCCATAAGAAAATCCTTGTTTTCATATATGCATAATAATAGTTTGCAGGATTTTTGTTGCTAAAGTTTTATGTTCATTATTTTTTCAGAGATTACCATTAAAATATTTGACCATTGTCTTATTAGGAAATAGAAGAACTTGTAGCTAAACTTCACAAAGATGCGTTAGTTGTAGAACAAGTTCGAACTTTGGTTAAAAAGGATGAAGAAATTATGGCTGCGGAAACAAAAATTGTGGAAGGGTATGCTAAGGTACACAGTTTTCAAAGTTTCTTCTTTTGATGTCATCATAACAAGCATGCCAACTATTTCTATCAAATGTAATTTTCCTCCCCCAAAAAGGAGAAACTAGGGCTACTATGTCTGAGGTGCAAAAATCTGGGGGACCTCCAGATGCTAGCAAGAGATTAAAAAATTAATATTTTTTCTATAAAAAGGCTTATGTTTGAGTTAAAGAATTTTGTATATAAAAATAGTATTTATACATGTATATCCTGTGACTAAAAAATAAAACTACCCTTTCTTCATTTTTGTAGCAAGTAACAGAAGAACTTAATACTGTATTACCATCTTTGGAGAAGGCTCTTAGTGCTCTTGATGCACTTGACAAAAATCACATTGCAGAAGTTAGGTAAATATATTGCTTATTTCCAAGGATTTCTAAGCTGAGGATCTCTTGCAATCAAAATGCATTAATTTAGCGAATACAATATTCATTAGTCATAATCAGTTTACACTGATGTACCCTGATTCTTGCTAATGTAAGAAACTATTAGCAGGAATAGTAAGATACAGCCAAAGCAATAGATTCCCTGAAAATCAGTCATCTCAATAGAAAATTGCTCTTGTAATGTTTCATATTATTTATTGTTTTTATATTAAACTGCAATCTCTAAGGTCAGAAATATGCATTACATTCCTTGGGCAGTCTAGGACATTCAGTATTTTTATGTTGAACACTAAAATTATTGTACCTTAATGTGAATCAGGTTGTTTTGCCAAAAAATTGACTTTGAATATAATATATTTTGTGCTCTTTTTCTGAAAAACGCAGAGTATATACTCATCCTCCTCCACTTGTTTTAACTGTTATGAATGCAGTCTGTATTCTTCTTCAAAAGAAACCAAACTGGGCAACAGCAAAATTATTACTGTCAGATCCAGGATTCCTGAAAAAATTGATTACAATTGACAAAGATAATTTACCAGAAAAGGTAAAAGAAAGTTCATTTGCAAGTAGATTGGATGTTTTTCTGCTTTTGTATACATAAATCCTCAAATAAGAGATTTTAAAAATGAAACACTTTTCCAGGGGTCTGGCTTGGGGTTTCATTGCCACCAGAATCCAACTAATTTTTCCTTACCAGATTGTAAATACCTTCTAAATGTAACAGTTGTGAACAATACTCAAATAGTCAAATTTTCTCTAATTCTGCAGAGTTTGGACTAATCTTTCACAGTTTAATTATCTTGTGAAAAACTGTCTTCTTGTCCATTTACATTGCTTTTTGCTCTGTTATTCATCAGACGACAGCTGTTTTTCATTTCACTTTGTAGAGATTCAGTTGGTGGGAGTTTGAGACAAAGGCCTCAGTGGTAGAATTCTATCTGGAAATAGATAGATCATAATTATATTGTGGAAAGGGAATTTCACGAAGGCAGTAGTGTCACAAAAAACAGGAAAAGCCCAAGGGGAACATCAGGTCAGCCAGAAAACAAACTTACATAGGAAAAGGAATCAAATAAAAAGTATTAAAGAATCCCTATAGACAAAAGCCTAAGTAATTAAGAAAACTAGACAAATAGGAAAAGGAAACAAAATATAATTTAGAAAACCCTTACAAACATAGGACATACCAAATAAGCAAAACAAACAGACAAAAGACACAAAATATAAATGACAAAAGGGACAGACAGGAGATTGCCACAGAACAAATGTGAAAAACTATCTTAAAGCTAAAAGATATTACAGAAAACCAATAATACAATCTGGCCACCCCGTGGAGTTTGCCTTCCGCACCCCGCGGAGTTTGCCCTCCGACGGAAATAAAGACAAACTCAAACAGGATTTGAAACATTAGGCACAAATACAAACACTCACACAAAATCAACTTACAAAGGGAGAAAAGGGTATAAAAAACCAGGGGCTTACCATAAGAAGCTAGCTAGCCCAGGAACACAGACTTCTCGCTGTTCTCCACCTTCCTGAAAAATAAAAAGATCCAGCTTTCAAGCAGTTGTCCGTATCCTTGCGCCAGAGCTCTCCCAGCGGGAAAATCAAATCCTTGAAAGAAAGGCATTTTGACACCTTTCAACAATATCTATAGTTCATGTCTAATGAACTATCTCTGATAGCTTTTAAATGGATAGTAAAATATTTCACTTTGATTGATTAATTAAAATATTGAAAAATAAACCAATATTTTGTTTTTGTGACTAATCTTTTTTTGTTTCTTTTCCCTGTTTTTTTGCTGTTGTTGAAGATATATTATTCTCTTTATATTGTTGTGCAGTTTATAATTTCCTTTACTTGATAAATTCAGTGCAATGGAATTATTTTTAAAAAAACAAATAAATAGATATTAGTTATTGATTGAAGATGGAAGAATTTACCTGTATCTGTTACACATGCCATTTTATTAATTATTTATTTATAATTAATTGTTTTGTATTCATTTTAGGTTTTTCTGCAGTTAAAAAAATATGTGAGATCATCTGATTTCAACCCAGTGAAAGTGGGACTTGTGTCTGTTGCATGTTGCTCCATATGCCAGTGGATTTTAGCTCTGGATCACTATCATATTGTTAAAAAGGTATATTTACATAGGTTATTTTCAATAGTTTTTAAAACAATCCATCATATTGGACAGATTGTATTTATAAGGGAAAAAGATTCTGGAATACATTGCTGATTTTTGCAAATTTCAGAACTGTCAGAGGTAAAACAATTCCAATTGTCCTCTTATTTTCTATTTATTTTTCTGCTATTTTAATTTTCTACCATAAAACAAATGTAGAAATGTACCTGGATTCAGGAAGCTCAGAGAAGGAAGGCCTGGAAGCAGACCTGAAATATACAGCAGTCCTAATTTAATATTTTATTAAGCAATTAATTGAATTGTTTTTCTCATAGACTCCATTTCTATAGTTTTAAGATAAATTTAAAGATAAGTCTTAAAGTTTACTTTAAGATAGTTTAATCTTTAGAAGATTGACCTGACAAGAAATGGGTCAACTTATCTCTTTATTAAGTAAATAATATTAAAATAAACTTTTCTCCTGTTACAAGGGATTCAAACATATCAGTCTCAAAACTTGGTTTCAGTTGTATGTCACTGCAACTGTTAAAAGTGTTTAGCAGGTAGTCCGTGACTTATGACCATGATTAAGCCCAGAATTATAGCCGTAAGTTGGAAATAAACACTGGAAACTGGCAAAAAAATGTTATAAAAAGTTTGCAGGATGCTGCAAACAGCTGTAAAGGTGAGTTGGTTGCCAAGTACCCAAAATGCACTTGCATGATCATGTTGTGTGTGTGTGTGGTTATTGTAACTTCAAAACCAGATCATTAATGCTTTTTGCAAGTCTGTCATAACTTTGAACAGTCGCTAAGCAACTGTTAAGGACTCTCTGTATGTTCTTCTTTTCCACAGGGATCCTTGTGGAAAAGGATCTCTGGCATCGCTTCAAGATTGCAGAGAAGGGCAAACAGATAGTTATTCATGACTGATCTTAGTACCTCCCTTAAAATAATTATATAGAATTGCTTCCTGGAATTTTCCATCTCCTGTCTGGATTTCTTCCTCCTAGTTTTCAAGGGCATTTTCCCTTTGCTTCTGTCCTGTCCCTGCAGGATTGTTATGAGGGGGATCGCAGGAGGAGAACAATAGAAATAAAGGTTGTGGAAGAATTGCCAAGTCTAAGGAGTCATTTCACCCTCAGGAAAAATAAACCTTCCATATCTTCCTTTTTGAAACTCAACTGTAAAGAGTACCTACTAGCTTGCCATTCCTAGGTCATTTCTAAAGCAATCCTCATCCTAAAAAAAAAAAATCCTTATAGATTTCCCTAAGTTTAAAGGAGGAAAACTGGTCTGTCCTTCCTAACCCATTGGGACCTAGGTGTAGAGAGTGTTAGGTATAACATTGATACCAAATATGGTTTGGGTGAATAAATATATAAAACTTAGATATCATGGTTTAAGTGCTTATCACTTTAAGCACAATGCTGCAGGCAATTAGCCGATTAAGGGTGCGGTTAGAAGTTACAATATAAGGAAGCATTAGAAGCTGGAAAGCTTACTGCGACTAACTGTGTCTTACTGCGACTGATTGTGAGTGCCTGTGACTGAACTGTTCTTGTTTGCTACTGTTTGCTGATTTACTGCGTAATTCTACTGTTCTACTGTTTGAACTTCTTGCTGAATATCCAGCGTTTGTTCCTCTGGAGAGAGGCACCGGAGGAGGAGAAGATATCTTTATCGGCTGATAAAGATATTGTAAGGACTCTTAACTTGGACTATACTAGTGAGTCTTACTGGATGGAAATACTGTGAATGACTTAATGGACTGAATGACAATGCTTTAAACTCTAAATGGATTAAAAACTATTTAAACTACAAACAGTGTTTGTGTTCAGTGTGTGTATACTCTGGGGCCCTTCCTGGCTTGACTACTGCTGCAATACTCTGCTAGGGGTTAATCCCCAAACACTAACAGAGAGTATAAAGTTACTCACATGATATGGGCAGTGTAAAAAATAGATAACTCTTCTATTTGATGAATAGAAGATGTCATTGAAGGACCAAAGGAAGTTTTATTAGGAAGCAATGATCAGATAAATTATACTAGAAGAAGTGAACCACAGTAGCTTTAGGTTTACACAAAGCCTGCTTCTTAGTCTGATCTACCTTCTAGGACTGACACTAGGTAATCAAAGTCTTTCCTCTGGGGCAAGTTGGTAAATAAAAGTAATGACTTTATCACAACTTCAGATTTGTGGGAAGGGAGAAGGGTTTCTGAAATAGGACAGTTTCACTTTTGGCCCCTATTCCATAAGATGACATGAATTGTTCTGAATTAGTCTTGGCTCCCATGTCCAATAGGCATAATTGAGCGTTGATCAGATGAAACCAAGCTGGATGCTTCACTTTTGTGAAGCATCCAAAGTGAAGCTGTGCAGATGAGTAAAACCTAGACAGACTTTCAATATCATTCATATTCTTCTGATTCAGAAAATCAAAATATTACCACACAGAGATGAGAGACACTCATTATATTATGAGCAACTGAAATGATTAGGATTCCTACCACATGACATATGATATACATTTGCTATTCAAAGCCACCCCAGAATTATTCAAAGCCACCCCAGAACTTGTGCTTTTACTAAGGCTCATGAATAGTAAAATCCTGTGCCAGAAATTGTATTAACACATTACAAATTTGCAGAGAAATATAAATAGCCAAATTACAATTGATGTTCAGCACAGAACTGTCACAGAGAGTTATGATTATTTGGTCAATTTGCTTGTGTTGTTGTATCAAATTGTGAATTTCTCCAGGATGCATCACTGGCTAGTGGTCAGAACAGGAGAACATGCAATATAAAGATGTCACAATATAAATAAGTATGATAGAAAATTAAAATGAAGACTAGAAAGTTCTCATAGAGATGTTGCTTTTAGGAAAATCCATCAAGTACAGTTAGAAATATGAATATAATGAGTATTACTTGGTCATATATAAATAAATGTGCCTATATCAAGATATTTGTGACATATATTTCATCTTTCTCTAAAGTATTAATTCTAACAATTTCATATTGAATTGTAAATATTTCTTTTTTTTTTTAGTTTGTAGATCCAAAGCAAGCAAAGGTAGTGGAAGCAGAGGAATTACTGAATCGTGCACATAGTAAATTAGATGAAAAACAAAGATGTTTAGCCCTGGTAAAATAGAAGTGTTTAATATATGCCATCATATTTACGTAATCCGTTAAATAATAGAAAATGTATATGCATCTAAGTAATCCATATTGTTTTAGTATAAATATTTCCTTTGCTGAAGAGAAAGTCATCTTTATTAGCTAGAATAATATATTATCTCTGAGTGTTTATATATTGTATAATAATCACATCATAACTCTAAATGACGTTTTCTCTCACTATTGTACTTAAAAGTGTTTCAGCCTGAGTAGAGAGAGTGAAGAAACAGTGATGGAAAGAGTTTGTTTCTAGAATTATCTGTCCTAAATTATCCTAAATAGTTTATAATAAATTCTTTTCAATGATCTCTGTACTTCACTTAAATGAAGAGATTGTAGAGCTGGGTTTTTTGGTAGGAGACAGTCCCACCCTCTTTGCACATGCATAAAAGAAATATTTTTACTCTGCTTTCTATTTCCTTTCGCTGCCACAACAACAGAACTGCTTGGTGCATGGTACATTCTGACATCTATTTAGAGATACTACTTTTATTCATGGCCCTCACTTCTTTTTGTTCAACACCAACAGTTTGGATTCCTCATTTTTTCCACACCTTCTTCACCTTAATTAATGTTAATTTCATTTATTCTAATCTAAAATAAAATTCAGCAGAAGCTAGTCAGTCCACTATTCCAGATGTATATCTTATGACTAGAATTGGAATTTGGATTTTAAGATCATTTTCACTCTACTGATGTAGTTAATAGATAACAGATAATCAGAGTTGGAAGGGACCTTGTAGGTCATTTAGTCCAACCCCCTGCCCAAGCGGGAGACCCTACACCATTTCTGACAAATGGCAGTCCAATCTCTTCTTGAAAGTCTCAAGTGATGGTGCTCCCACAACCTCCGAGGGCAAACTGTTCCATTGGTTGATTGTTCTCACTGTCAGAAAGTTTCTCCTTATTTCCAGGTTAAATCTGTTCTTGTTCAGTTTCCATCCATTATTCCTTGTCTGGCCTACAGGTGCTTTAGAAAATAGCTTGACCCCTTCCTCCCTGTGGCAGCCCCTCAAATATTAGAAGACTGCTATCATGTCTCCCCTGGTCCTTCTCTTTACTAGACTAGCCATGCCCAGTTCCTGTAACCGTTCTTCATATGTTTTAGTCTCCAGTCCCCTAATCGTCCTGGTTGCTCTTCTCTGTACTTTTTCTAGAGTCTCAACATCTTTTTATAATGTGGTGAGCAAAATTGGATGCAGTACTCTAGGTGTGGTCTTACTAAGGCTTTATAGAGTGGTATTAGTACCTCACTTGATCTCAATTGTATCCCTCTAATAATGCAATTTAGGATTGCATTAGCTTTTTTGGCTGCTGCTGCACACTGCTGGCTCATATTTAGCTGGTTGTCCACTAAGACGCCAAGATCTGTCTCACAGTTACTGCTACTGAGCCTGGTTTCACCCAATCTATATATGTACTTTTGGTTTCTCTTGCCTAAGTGTAGGACTTTACTTTTCTCTACATTGAATTTCATTTTGTTAGATACAACCCAGTGTTCTAGTCTGTCAAGATCCATCTAGATCTTGAACCTATCTTCTTTTGGGTGTTAGCTATTCCTGCCACCTAAATATCATTTGCAAATTTGGTAAGTTCCCCTTCTATTCCCTCATCTAAGTCGTTAATGAAGATATTGAAGAGTACTGGGCCTAAGACGGAACCTTGTGGCACCCCACTGCTTACTTTCCTCCATGTAGACTTAGACCCATTAAGGACTACTCGTTGAGTACAGTTTGTCAGCCAGTTGTGAATCCATCTAGTGGTGGTGCTATCTATTCCACTTTTTTCTAGCTTACCAAGACGTAGGTTGTGGTCTACTTTGTCAAATGCCTTGCTGAAATCTAAATATATTATGCCCACAGTATTTCTCTGGGCTACTAATTTAGTCAGTATGTTGAAGAATGAAGTAAGATTGGACTGGCATGATCTGTTTTTAACAAACCCATGCTGACTGCTAGTTATTACTTTACTTGTTTCTAGATGTTCTGTTTTTTTATTAACTTTTCCGGTATCTTCCCGGGTATTGATGTTAGGCTGATTGGTCTATAATTTCCTGGGTATGTTTTTTTTCCCTTTTTTGAAGATGGGAACCACATCAGCTCTTTTCCAGTCCTCTGGTAGTTCCCTGGTGCTCCAGGATTTTTGAAAGATATGGTGCAGTGGTTCTGAGATGACCTCTGCCAGCTCCTTTAAAACTATGGGATGTAATCCATCAGGTCCTGGTGATTTGTGTTCATCAAGATCAGACAGGTGTTCTCTTACTATTTTTTTGCTTATTTTAACTTTTATTTCTGGTCTGTCTTTACTACTATTCACTAGTAATATTCACTACTAACTGCTTCTTAACTTCAGTGTGCTTGATGTTGCCTGAAGGATGCCCACTTGCCCAGGTATTTGTAACAATCTTCTACATCCAGACTCTTGATGTTATTTTGATAGGGCATCTTGATGCCTTCAATTTTCACTATTTTTCCACTGGTGATGATAAGTGTGGCACATATGTGCAGTTCAAGTACATATGTTTCCTCTCCCTTCTTCTCACAATAAATAAAGTGAGAATAAACCATCTGATCTATTGCACTTGCTATCATTTTATTATATTGATTTTATTATAAGTCCTATGTTTTATTCCTGTGAGCTACCTACAATAGTTGGGAATCGAGTAGCATACAATTATTATTATGTTTGGTCACATACACAGCCAATCCCAACCATACCTCACTGTGGTAAAAAACTTTATGGATCGATTCGAAGATGTTGAAGATATACTACCAAAAAGTGAGTTCCCTGTGTGGCGGGGGGGAGTTACAGGGGAAGAGCAAAGAGACTATCATAGTAACAGGAGCATCCATGATGCAGATGTGGTAAATCTTAATGCCACCCTCAGCAATTGACACAACTTCTACTGAAAAGAGATGTATCTGCTGTTCAAAAAATTAGGAACATGGAACATCAATGGCTTAAATCTAGGAAAGCTGAACATTGTTAAGAATGAAATGAATATGTTTAACAATGAATGGGATGGACATAGTGCATCCATCTTTGCTCTACTTGACCTCTACACAGCATTCAATACTACCAACCACAGTATCCTTCTAAACTGGCTTTGGGAGCTGAGAATGGGCAGCACTATATTGTGCTGAGTCCCTTACTTCCTCCAAGACTGGTTCCATCAATGTTTCATTGCCAGCAAGAGGTCCTACCCTCAGTCCCTACTATATGGGATGCCACATTGCTTGGTAATCTCTCCACTCCTACTTAACATCTACATGAAGCCACTGGGTGAGTTTATGCAACACCATGAGTTGAGATGTACGTTGACATACACGGTTGTATATCTCTACCATTGGCAAAATGCTGCTGCTAATCTGATGCTGTTTCAGTGTCTGGACACTGTCAGGATCTGGATGGATATCAATGGACTCTGGCTTAATCTTGACAAGATTTCTTAGAAATGGACTTTTCAATTTTTACCATAGTAATATACGAGGAGTTATGTGATCTACAGACTACAGTGATTATAATTTGAAGGGGGTGAATTGAAGCCAATTGCTGGAATCAGGAAATAAATGTAATCTGTTGAGCCTGTTGACAGTTGAGGAAAATAAATAAGCAATTTGCAAGGTCATAGTACCCAAAAGTTTGAATGACTAGTGTGTGAAAACAAAAGTACAAGATACTCAAAAGAGCTACAAAATATTTGATTTTAAGGCTATGTCTGCTAGATAGAGGACATGAAAACTTAAATGAGGATATGTCCTCTATTTGCCCAATGTCTGGTAACACTAGATGAGGTGGGCCTTTGACCTTAACCAATATAAAAATGACAATTATTATTTTGTTCCTAATATACAGTAGCTGGGTGACGTTGGGAAAACAAAGTTGCTTGTCTGTTCTGATAAAGCCTGGGTGAGATCCCCTCAATTTTTAAGTGACTAAAAAAGAAGACAAACTGATAATTGATAACTGATAAAAAGGGGGAATAATAATAATAAGCTAAAGTAGAAAAGTCCTTCAGCATGTTGTTAGAGATAGGTCTCTATTCAAACTACATAGCTGATTAATAAAAATACTACATCTATAGTTAAGCAAACAATCTTTATACACAGTCCTGCTTAATCTGCTCAGAAAATTCATGCATAATAATGTTTAAGTGGGCATAGTTATGTTCAGAGTCTGGATAGTAGCCCTGTAAAAGCCTCATATTAGATATTATTGAGTTTCTTTTTTAAAAAGACCATGCAAATATAGCAAGTAATTCTGCTTTATAGAGTTTTTAAGTAGATTTTCTCATTTAGAATTTAAAATTTTTCTAAATTTTCAGATTGAACAACATCAACAAAATTTAGAAGCATTGTATGATGAAAGTATTGCTGAACAGGAAAAACTTGCAGCCCGAAAAATGCAAACGACTCGCCGTTTACACAGTGCATCTATATTAAGCATAGCTCTAAAGGGTGAAATGGTATTACCTTTTTAATTTGCTCTAATGCTTAAGTTCAAGTTTCATTATATTTTTGATTGCTTTTTCTCATTGACTCTTTCCCATGTTATATACTTAAGCGTTGGGTTATATCTTATACACAATTGTTATTTTTCTCACTGATTATATCTGAAATATGTGACCAATGTACTGCTGATTTAAAAATAAATACATTTTAGCCTGTCTTCATTAATGATATAGCACCCTTGCGGTAGCTGGATTATGTTATGAGACTTGATGTTTCACATATATGCCGATACTGTCTAACTTATTAGGAATTGACCAAATGAGGTTGCGACATACAGCTTAATAAAAACACAAGAAAGCCATGTATTTTTCAAAAATCCAATATTAATGTCCTTGTGGTTACTACACTTAGAATAATTTCTATAGTATTGTGGTCATTGTGCTTCACAAAAAAAAACCAGAGATGGAAATATGCAAAAAAATAATAATATATAAAGTCCCTTCTTTACTTCCCTGTGAAGATAGACTACAAAAAGGCACATAATAGAGATGTATATTATACATGGCATGGGAAAAGTGTGCTCATCATACTAGAACCCAGAAATATTCAATGATTTAGAATGGTAGAAGGTTTTAGAGAGGAAAAAAAAACTATTTTAAATTCAGAATAGAACTGGAAGAGACCTAGTCAGAGACATTATACCATTTCAGACAAGTAACTGTCCAGTTTCTGTCCCTCTCCGCCCACCCTTCCCCTCCCCACCCAGTCAATCTTTATCACACATGTGCAACATTGCGTGCATGCCCGACATCGCTGACTGCGTTCTTCCCCACCCAGTCACTCCTTAAGGTATTTCTTCTTTTTTTTCCCCTCCTGACAATCAGCTGTTCCTATGATCAGCTGTGCCAGGATTGCCCTTGCTTATTTACTGATTCACCCAGGAGGCTTCCCTGAGGCCCAGGAAGGCAAAAAATGGAGGGGGGCTCAGCACCCCCCACCCCCTCCATTTTTGGCCTTCCTGGGAGCAAAAACACCCCTCCAGGAGGCTTTCCTGAGGCCCAGGAGGCCCTAAAATGGAGCGTGGAGGGATGCTGCACGCCCCCTCCAAGCTCCTTTTTTTTTCTTCTTGAACCCCAGGGGAGCCTTCTGGGAGCAAAAATGCCCCCCAAGAGGCTTCCCTGATGCCCAGAAGGCCCAAAACCATGTGTGTGTGTGCGCGCGCTGCCAAAAGAAAAAAATCCACGCCCACCCAGTCACATGACCACGCCCACATGGCCACACACACCTAGCCATGCCCACAGAACCGGTTGTTACAAAATTTGAATCCCACCCCTGATGAGTCATGTGATCCAAAGACTACAGTGATTATAGATTTGAAGGGGGTGGATTGAAGCCAATTGCTGGAATCAGGAAATAAATTTAATCTGTTGAGCCTGTTCACAGTTGAGGAAAATAAATAAGGAATTTGCAAGGTCATAGTACCCAAAAGTTTAAATGATTACTGTGTGAAAACAAAAATACAAGATACTCAAAAGAGCTACAAAATATTTGATTTTGCTATGCCTGCTAGATAGAGGACATGAGGATATGTCCTCTATTTGCCCAATGTCTGGTAACACTAGATGAGGTGGGCCTTTGACCTTAACCAATATAAAAATGACAATTATTATTTTGTTCCTAATATAGCTGGGAGAATAAAATGTGTTCCTGTTAGCCTCAGTCACTAGGATTTAGTTCATATTTTAGTGGTTACCAAGATTTTCTTTGTTAAATAAATGGCTCTTATTCATTTATTTGGAGACATATGAAGTTTTCAATCATTTGGGTGAACGAAGCAAACAAGCCAATGTTATAAATAATAGAATGGAATTCCTTCAGGATGATTGGATGACTTTTAGAAGTTAATAGCCTGGTTTTCTTTCTTTCTGCTTTCCATTAATGTTTTTTTATTAGATAAGGTAAGAATACACTGTCTCCGAACATTTCTGAACCTACTTATGGCCCTTTCAGTGGGCAACACAAAACTCCTGACTTTTGTCTTTTCATTTAATTATGAGTTCTATATCATATAAGTTAAGCAAACTAGCAAGACTAATGTTCAAATTTATGACACATAGCTATATACTTTTCTACCTTAGGAACGCTGGAAAGAATCTGTTAATAACCTTGATCAAAGATTGCAAGGAATTGTAGGTGATGTCCTTATATCAGCAGCTTGTATTGTCTACAGTGGAATGTTATCAGCGGGGTATCGTCAACAGCTAGTCAATGACAGTTTGAAACTCTGCAGTGATAACAATATTTTGGTCTCTCCAAATTACTCATTGGTTAACTGCATGACAGAAAAGAATGAGGTAGTAAACAAAGAGAAAAAATAAGAATGAAATTGTTTTATTTATAATTTTATCTCAAAACTGTTCTCAAATTTAACATTTCTTTCTCAGATTACACTATCAGTTAAAATAATTAATAAATAGTATTATTTATTATAATTTATTTGAGAAAATGTACTTCATGATTTACAGGATTGTTCGTTATTACCATAATTAGTGTATATGGGGGGGCAATATTATAGCCATGATTATAAATCTATAAAATCATTTTATAGGTCCGCAGATGGCAAAATGCAGGTTTGCCGCATGATCAATACTCCACAGAAAATGCAATAATTATTAAACATGGACAACGGTGGCCTTTACTAATTGATCCAGAAAGCCAAGCTTACAAATGGATATGTCAAATGGAAGGCACCAAATTGAAACAAATCAATGCTACAGATGCCAATTACTTAAAAACAATTGAATATTCTTTGCAGTTTGGTGAATCAGTCCTTTTGCAGGTAATTCGACTTCAACACAGACAGCATATCTAACATACAAATGAAGAAAAATATAATGCAATCAGTGCAAAAGATGAGCACCTACACTATAACATAGGAGGTTTTGAAGTAATTCCCTCTTTATTATTAAAATACATTTGTTTAAAAAAATAGTCAGGGCTGATTTTACTAATTAATATTGGATATAGATTAAAAGTTAGAATTCTGAAAACTATTAAACTCCAGGTTTCAAAATAGTATAGGCAGGATCTTTCTTTCCAGGGTTCTTTCCAGAAAAGAATATATATTTGTTTGGTCTCAGTCAACAGGGTGAAAGCCATGTCTTCACTGCTTTCCTGAAAGCTAACATAATAGAATAGAATAGAATTTTTTACTGGCCAAGTGTGATTGGACACACAAGGAATTTGTCTTTGGTGCATAAGCTCTCAGGGTACATAAAAGCTATAAGTGATAGCTGATATGATCATAGTCATCATAAAAATACATTCATTATAAATCATAAGATACAACACTTAGTGATAGTCATAGGATACTAAATAAACAACATAAGTCATGCTAGGAAACTACAGTAAACAAGCAATATAAATTGTAAAGATACAAGCAACCAAGTTATAGTCATAAATAGAAAAGGAGATAGGTAATAGGAAAGATGAGAATAAATAATACAGCTTTACTAAATAGTTTGACAGTGTTGTGGGGATTAGTTGTTTAGCAGAGTCATGGCAAGGAGGAAAAAAACTGTCCTTATGTTTAGTTGTTCTGGTGTGCAATGCCATATAACGTCATTTTGAGGGTAGAAGTTGAAACAATTTATGTCCAGGATGTGAGGGGTCTGAAGATATTTTCATAGCCCTCTTTTTGAGTCAAGCAGTATATAGATCTTCAATGGAAGGCAGGTTGATAGCAATTGTTTTTTCTGCAGTTCTAATTATCCGTTGAAGTCTGTGTCTGTCTTGTTTGGTTGAAAGCCAAACCAGACAGTTATAGAGGTGTTGATGACAGACTCAGTAATTCCTGTGTAGAACTGTATCAGCAGCTCCTTGGGCAGTCTAAGCTTTCTGAGTTGGCACAGAAAGAACATTCTTTCTTGTGCTTTTTTGAGGACGTTTTTGATGTTAGGTGTCCATTTTAGATCTTGTGATGATAGAACCTAGAAACTTGAAAGTCTCTACTGTTGATACTGTGTTGTCTAGTATTGTAAGACATGATAGTATAGGAGGATTTCTCCTAAAGTCTACCATCATTTCTATGGTTTTGGGTGTATTTAATTCAATGTTGTTCCGGTCGCACCACAAAGCTAGTTGTTCAAACTCCCCTCTGTATGTAGATTAGTCAATGTCTCAAATGAGACTAATAATTGTTATATCATCTGCAAACTTCAATACCTTAACAGAGGGTTCTTTTGAGATGCAGTCATTGGTATATATAGAGAAGTGGAGACAGCACACAGCCCTAGGAGTGGGAGGGGGTGGCATGCTAATTGTACAGGTAGATACAGATTAACAGAGTTGGAAGGGACCTTGTAGGTCATCTAGTCCAACCCCCTATGGTTTATCATATTAAGTATGACTGGTATCTGATGTGATTTTGCCTAGCGGCACCTGCTGCTTCCTGTCTATTAGAAAGCTTATGATCCACTTACAAGTGTGATCAGGCACAGCTAGCTAATTTAGTTTAGTTAGAAGCATATCTAGAATGATGGTATTGAATGCCAAGTTGAAGTCTACAAAGAGGACCCTTGCATAGGTCTTTGTAGATTCAAGATGTTGTAGGATGTAGTGCAGAGCCATATTAACAGCATCATCTGCCTATCTATTTGCTCAGTAGGCACATTGCAAAGCGTCTAACAGCGGATCCATGATGGTTTTCAGACAGCCCAGCACTAGCCTTTCAAAGGTTTTCATAACTATGGATGTCAGAGCAACCAGTCTGAAGTCATTGTGGTCCTCAATGGAGAATTTCTTCAGCACTGGGATGATAATAGAGTATTTGAAGCAAAAAGGATTATAGCACATCTCTAGTGATTTATTAAAGATGTGGATGAAGATGAGGTCCAGTTGGTCAGCACAAGAAAGAGAACTACAGAAGAGCTGTACCTCTACTCCATCCTCCCTAGCTAACCCAGAGGAAAACCATGATCAACAGCATCCTAGGAAAGTCAGGTTGAATACATTATCCTCATCCTAGGGTGAGGATACTTATCAATAGTATCTCAGTACTATATCCTAATCTGAAACTGACTGTAATGGAGCCAGATAACCTGCTTCCTTCAAGGGCCTTTCAAGCTGTAGAAAGATCACCTACTAAGCAATCTTCCTCAAAAAGGAAAGGTCAGAGATTAGACCCACATGGCGAAAGTTTAACTCTGAACAATTCTAAATCTAACAGAGGCTTCATGTAATCCTCACAGTCGCCTTGCAAATGTTCCTGAAACCCTCCTCTGTACAAACATAATGGAGTCCGATACATTCTAACTATTATTTATTGTAGAGTATAAGTTTAAGGACCATTGACACTGTAGGTATAGAAGTTAAGACAGTTTCCAATTGTCTAGCCAATATCAGAGCCTCTAATTCTTTATTTCATTTATCCCTTACCATCTGCATATTAAATTGACTTACTGACAACAAACAGCTATAGAAACTAATTGTAGCTGTTTTAGTTTTAAAAGATTTAACCAGTTTTTCTAACAACTTGCGTGTCTCAGAAGCAGTGCAAACAATGGTATTAGCAAATGTTCTAACTGTAAATATTGTCAGTGACTTATATTTGATAGATGATATTTGTCTCTTAGTACAGCATATTTATTTATTTTTATTTATTTATTTATTTGATTTGCCAATTGTTTACAAGATAATAAGTATAAGTGTATACATAGTTGTGAATACATGAAATGGGTACATATAAGAAAAATAAAAGAAGAATAAGAGAAACAATAGGACAGGGACGGTAGGCACGTTGGTGCGCTTATGCACGCCCCCTACAGACCTCTTAGGAAAGGGGTGAGGTCAATAGTAGACAGTCTAAGGTTAAAGTTTTTGGGGTTTGGGGAAGAATGTTATAAATTCATCCGCATCATCTTATCAATTGGTCCCAAATCAATGTCCCCACTCTCAGCTATTTTTTCCAAATTGCCATCTTTCTCCCAATTTTTAATGTTGGATTTCTGCATAAAGTCAATTTAGCATGGGGAAAAGGATTAAATCTCTTTTTTAGATATTACATTCCACGGCTTTTTAATTGATATAAATGTTTCCAGAGATATTAGAGCTCTATTATATTCTTTAACAGACAGATCTTTAACAGATAATCAGAGTCGGAATGGACCTTGTATATCATCTAGTCCAACCACCCATCCAAGCGAAAGACCCTACACCATTTCTGACAAATGGCGGTCCAATCTCTTCTTGAAAGTCTCAAGTGATGACGTTCCCACAACTTCCAAGGGCAAGCTGTTCCATTGGTTGATTGTTCTCACTGTCAAAAAGTTTCTCCTTTTTTCCAGGTTAAATCTGTCCTTGTTCAATTTCTATCCATTATTCCTTGTCTGGCCTACAGGTGCTTTAGAAAATAGCTTGACCCCCTCCTCTCTGTGGCAGCCCCTCAAATATTGGAAGACTGCTATCATGTCTCCCCTAGTCCTTCTCTTCACTAGATTAGCCATGCCCAGTTCCTGTAACCGTTCTTCATATGTTTTAGTCTCCAGTTCCCTAATCATCCTGGTTGCTGTGGTGACCAAAACTGGATGCAGTACTCTAGGTGTGGTCTTACTAAGGCTTTATAGAGTGGTATTAGTACCTCACTTGATCTCGCTTGTATCCCTCTGTTAATGCAACTTAGGATTGCATTAGCTTTTTTGGCTGCTGCTGCACACTGCTGGCTCATATTTAGCTGGTTGTCCACTAAGACTCCAAAATCCCTCTCACTATTACTCCTATTGAGCCTGGTTTCACCTAGTCTATATGTGTACTTTTGGTTTCTCTTGCCTAAGTGTAGGACTTTACTTTTCTCTACATTGAATTTCATTTTGTTAGATACAGCCCAGTGTTCTAGTCTGTCAAGATCCATCTGGATCTTGAGCCCATCTTCTTGGGTGTTAGCTATTCTTGCCAGCTTAGTAAGTATTCAGATCTTAACACTGTCTATCCAACTAAAGGTGCTATATATGTATATTCCAAAGTTATCCAAATTAGAAAATGAATATCAATTATTGGCTTTTAGTATTTAATACTTGACAATAGGCAAGCATGATGATAAATCCCCAGATTTGGAAAACCAAGTCCTCTCTCTCAATGAGGAATCCATAGTACAGACTGATTTGTTAAATGTAAGATAAACTGTCAGCAGTTAGTCTGAATTTCCTGACATATCCTAGTCTATTCAGCTGGGGACTTCTCCAAGAATCTTTCCCTTCAGTCCAGCACCAGGAAAAATAGAAAGGAAAGTGTCAATGAGTGAAGAATATACTTTGTACCAATCCTAAAATACAACAAAGCAATTTGGCACGTAAGGAATGTTTCAGTGAAAAATTAAGTTTTTAAATGATATAACCAAATCTCTACATGAAAGAGCTATACTAGGAAAAGGGGAAGCAATAAAATTGAATCACAGAATTAAAAATAAAAATTTAAATGTTGATCTCATTAAACTGTTTTTATATTATCTGTTTGAATAAAATCTTGGATTTTAGAACACCCATTGCAAACAGGATGGTTAGGAGAGGCTGTATCTAGTTTTTCGCTATCATGTGGTATGGACAGTCCTTTTCTTGGTGGTTGTTCTTGTGGAGATTAATTGGTAGTTTTTCTCTTGGACATTAATTTCATAGTTCTATACAATGTAGCTTTAAGCGAAAGCTAGCCAACTGATATCTTTTAATTATCATTTGGATAATCAAATAAAACACTCCAACTCTAGTAATGCAATACAAATTATGAAATCAGTAAAATTAGTTTATCTCTAACATCGCTTCCCTACCAATGTAGTAGTTGAATAATAAAAGCATTTCTAGTTTTCAGCTATTAAGGCATTGAGAACTAATCTGGCTAGTGATTAAGAGGTTAGACTGGAAATGGGGAAATGGATTTTAGTTCTGGTCCTGTTTTCAACTTTTATTTTTAAGTTCTAGTCCTCCTTTGATACAAAAATCCAGCAAGGTGATTTTGGGCAAGTCATTCTCGTCCTCATGTTTGAAAATGTTGCCAAAAAATCTACATGTTCTATACCAACATGCATATAGACATCATGTAAGAATTGCATGAGAAAGACTGGGTGAGAAATAAAATATGAATTCTTGTTCATTCATGCTTCTTATATTGTCATCAATTTATAATGTTTTGTGCATTGTTAAGCCGTAGCAATACATTACTGTTCCTCACAGGAAGCAATTCCTCATCAAAAAAGAGCAAAGTATAGAGTATCTTAATTACTGTAGGAGGTGCGTTTTCCAAAGAACAGGAAAATTACTTACTGTATGTTAATATTAACTACAGTCTTGTATTTTTTAGGATTTTCCTGAAACATTGGATTCAAATATAAAATCAATCTTAAGCAAGGAGATCTACAAAAAAGGAGGACAAGAATTCATTAGAATAGGAGATTCTGAAATTCAGTACAATTCAGACTTTCGGTAATTGCTTGTATAAATTGAATAACTTTAAGCCTGCATTTTATATTCACCCTAACAAGAATTTGTACTTTGAAAGAAAGATAAAGACTTCTGAATATTCTCAAGTCATGGGATATATTTAAATATTTGTTAGAGTTTATTCATGTGGATTATTTCCAAGCAAATTCCCAATAAGAGAATATAATGACCACTAAATCAAAACTATATTACTGTACTAATATTTGCACTGTTATGACCAGAAATGTCATGACCAGATTTTACAATTTTATTGCTGAACATTATTTGGAAATTGTCTACTACTACTAGATTAAAATTATTTTAAAAACAGTATCAGAGTATATAAAACCATGTGCATCACAGAAAGCCATAATGCGTTATGCACTATTAAATCCAGTGCAGTTCACAAGCAACAGAGCTACCAGAACTATCTAGCACCTTGGATTCTAGGAGAAAAGGTGCTTCAGAATACATGTGTATGCATGCATAGCATCATTCAATATTTTTTTATACCTAATGCAATATTTTCCCATGATTATACATTTTATTATTATTTATGTAATTATGTTACAGAAGAAAACTACACGAATCTGGGAAAAGATGCAGCTATTTTAAGGGGTTAACAATAGATATGTGTGAGCGCTCCTGTACATTCTAAAGCAGTTTTCTCTTCAGATATCCTAATAGCTACCTCAGTGGCCACTCATAGATTACTTCTCTAGTGAGAGTCATACTGCTGCGCTAGAACTAAGTATCAGTTGATGAAGATCATTAAATCATCTGAGCATGCAAAAGGAGCGTTTCTCTTTACAATTAAACTTAAGGCAAGACATATGTTTACCATAGGTGTGTGTTCTTTTTCTCTTATAAAACTGAAGCTTAGAAGATTTTAGACTGTCCAAAAAATAGCAGGGTGGAAAATAAACCTGCCCTTTCTTTGCAACCCACAATTCAGTTGTCAACTCTATTCTTGCAAGAAGTTGAGAAAGAGTGGAAACTACTTCCACATGCCATATTTTCAAAAGTATATGCTTTAATCCTGTCCTGTTTTAAAACAGGGCATATGAATATGTAACTAATCAATAATTAATCAGTGAGGGAGAAAGATCATGGGACTAGAAACTAAACCTCATGAGGAGACTAAGACATACAAAATATATAGAATGAAAAGAAGAAACCCAGTAGGAAAAGAGGTGAAACCACACTTTAAGTGCCTGAAAATGTATTATTCAGAACACAGCCTAATTAATTCATCCAATAATGTGCAAAATAATTAGAGAAAAGCAGATTGCAGATGCAATGTAAGAAAAAATATTTTTATATTGTTCTTTTTACCTTGTTAAAAGTTCCTGAAGTACTACTGCTACCATTATTATTATTATTATTATTATTATTATTATTATTATTATTATTATTATTATTATTATTTAAATTTAAATTAGAGATACTTTAATTTAGACTTCTGTAGACTTAATCACAGTCTTTCTGCTCTATATATTCAAACCACCCAACTCATGAACATTTCTTACGGTCCTTGGTGATTATTCCTTATTGAGTCACTCCAACTCAATAATGAGCATTGGCAAGTTGAAATGTCCTGTTGTTCTACTCAATATTTAAAAAAGAAAATTACAAATTAAAATTAATTTCCAATGAAAGTCCCTGAAAACATAACACAACTTTACAGATTTTTTTAAAGTACAGGTCAAGCAAGAGCCAAACAGACCTGTTCCATATGCTGGAAAAGGTACTCTGAAAGTGGGGGGGTGGAGCAAACTTCCAAATATACAAATCTTAATAACCAGACAGTGTTATATTGATATTCCCTTACATTAGATAGCCATGTTTTATGTCAATGAGGTTTTTATAGACTAGTATTTTAGATTAAATGCAAGTAAGAAAATAAATAAAAAAAATATTCAGGATGTTAAACAATATTAGATATTCTTTTTAATATAAAAATATAATATAATATTTTATGATATTAAAAAATCAAAAATTATGTAACATACGCAAAAAGCTTTATAAATATTTGTGATTATTTCAGATTATATCTGACAACACAGAAACCCAATCCTCATTTTCTGCCAGCAACATGCAATGTTGTTACTATGATAAACTTCACTTTAACATTCCATGGTTTGCAAAATCAGCTTTTATCTGCAGTTGTAAATAAGGAAAAACCTGAGCTTGAAAAACAGTACTGCAAGTTGATGGAAAGCATATCAATTGATCTGGTAGCACTACATGAATATGAACAAAGATCACTTCAACTTTTGCAAAAAACAACTGGTAAATAAAACTTTGAAAAACTTCATATATTTTATATTATTTTGCCGAAAGCACAAAATGTTATTAAATAGAATTCAAAGGCCAAAAACTTCATTTTTTTGAAAATAATGTTTCATTATCAGTGTATAAAGGCTTATAAACTTCATTTAGTAGTAGCATAAAAACTGAGACTTGCCAACTCACATGTTCTTCAACTATTATTAACATAATTCTGCATCATGCTAATTATAATTAAAGGACACCTTCTTACAGTAATTTTCATTGTAATTTTATGATCATCCCAGTAGTGGGATTCAAATAATTTAACAGCCAGTTCTCTGCCCTAATGACTGGGTGGGCAGAGCTGGGTGGTCATGTGACTGGGTGGGCGTGGCCAACTTGATTGGTCTCACCCTTAGGAAATGTCTCCTTAGTCCAACTCACAATAAAATAGCACAATAAAATAGCACTGTTCCAATATTTAGAATAGTATAGAATAATAGAGTTGGAAAGGACCTTGGAGGTCTTCTAGTCCAACTCCCTGCTTAGGCAACAAACCCTACACTACTTCAGACAAATGGTTATCCAATCTCTTCTTTAAAACTTCCAGTGTTGGAACATTTACAATTTCTGGAGGCAAGTTGTTCCACTGATTAATTGTTCTGTCAGGAAATTTGAAGGGCTCCTACAAAAATGAGAGAGTCAATATATTTTCCAAAACACCAAAAGGCACAACGAGAAACAATGGATGAAAACTAACCAAAGAAAGAAGCAACCTAGGACTAAGGAGAAATTTCCTAAGGGTGAGACCAATCAGAAGTTGGTGGGTGATCCATCACTAGAGGCTTTCAAAAAGAGTGAGGGAAGTCTACCCCAAAAGGACAGTGCCAGGAACCTTTTTTTTAAAAAGTCAACCCCAAAGCAAACGCAGCAGCTGAGAGGGAAACTAAGAGCAGCTGCTCATGATAATTGAAAGCCTGAGCATGCTGCCAAAAGCCATTCACCCTTCCAACTCTATTATTCTATATTCTCTATGTTCTAAATTGGGTGCTTCACAGCAGAAGCAATACAGCTGGCTGGACCACACATGCATTAAATTCCTGTATAATCAAGCTTCATCATTGTCCTCTCCTGCATCTTTTCCCCCAGGAAGAAACAAGTAGCCAACAATGTAGCAGTTATAAAGGTCTTGGGGAACTCCAGGGAGTATCAGCTGATCAAAGAAGTGTTACTTAATACTCTTTATAATGAAAATGTTTGTAATCTTGTCCTTCTTCCTGAAGGACAATCCTATACTTAATCCTATCCTTAGATGAGTGATTGATGGGTTTCCCTGCCCTAATCCTGTCAGTTTCTATTGTTTATTGACTTGATTAGCTTGTATGGCTGCATTCCAGCTGCAACTGTCAAGTGGTTCTTGGCTGTCTGCCCAGAGCTATTAACTGAAGGGGGAGAGAGAGAAAAAACCCTATCTTCCACTTTATTTTTAGTCGGTTCTCCAAATTGCATAAGCAATTAACTAACAGTTGGGGGGAAACTGATGAGAACCAGCTGAATCCCACATGTAGATGATCCCCAAATGCTTTCCTATAACTTTCTATGCTTTCTGTTATATAAATGAAAATCAGTTAACACCGGTAATTGGGATTGGAATTTCCATGGCTAAGCAATGCAATTGTAAAGCATGATGTCCTGTAACTACAACACTTAGTGATGGCAAACCTGAACTCCTGATTGCCATCATTAAGTGAGGGTCATTGTAGTTGCTGTATCAATGAGATGAACAGCATAGATATTGAATAAATAAATATATAACCACAGGACATTAAGCAATTTCCTGCAGACTTCAACAAGCAAAATCAATGGGGAAGATGGCAGGCAGTTATAAATTCAAGGGTCCAGAAGGGTGCACAAGGGGCTGGCATTGCATGAGCATAGCATGTCTTGGGATGGCTGCTGCAGGGTGTGGAAGGATGCAACAGGTCACATGAGGGGCTGGTGTAGCATGAGCACATGTAATGGTATGTGGGAAAGACCTTGAGAGACAGGACAAAGGCTTAGAGTACAATCAGATAAGGAAGGACATAGCCAAAAGCAGGGATGTGGGTAGAGCAATAGATTCAGAAAGGATCCTCTCTAACTTTTTGGACTGTAAAGAAGATGACAAGGGATCTGTACTTTCAGATTGATGTCAATCTTCCCAGGTAAACAAGAAAGAAAACATGACCAAGAGAACTTTATTGTATGGCTATATTAACACAATCATGGAAGTCTAAAAACACAAATCTCCCACCATCTCCTTTATGGTCCAAGAAAACAGTTTGTGTTTTATTATACCCCTTGATCCAGTATAACTAGTATACTAATACAAAAATATACACACAGAATGAGCTGGAATCTTGTATTTTAAAATATGCAGTTCATAGGGATAGTTCTCATTATCTTACACTTGCTGATGTCCCTTTATATATCACTTATATTACATCCCTCTTCCAAACATGAAATGAAACATGTATTTCTGACACTGTTCATATTTTTCCTGGAACTCCAAATACGTGTTTGTCATAGTCCCAGTGTATTCCCCTGGCAACTTTTATTTACAAGAACCCCAACAACTGGCATCTCCATAAGTAACAATATGTTTTTCTCTGGGACCAGGCAGCTACAATATGAGCCCAGGAAAAGATGCAGCCTTTTTAAGATGGTTTCAGCAGCTGCAGCAAGGTTTCCTTTTCCCCCCAGCACCTTTTCAGATCCAAATAGCTGCATAATTCTAGTAATGTCATATAAAACTATTGTACTAGTTTCATAACTTTGCTAACAGGGCTCCCTTGTTATACTGCTTTCTGGTTTATAAAGTGAATATTTAATTTACAAAATAAAATTATTTAATTTATTCTATTCTACAATTCAATTACACTTTTTTACAGGGCACCTTTTAGATGACCAAGCCCTCATTGAAAATTTGCAGCGAACAAAAATTACCTCGTCAGAGATTTTTCAGCGTGTAGCAGATTCAGCAGCAACAGAAGTCACCATAGAAGGATTGCGTAAAGCCTATATTCCTATAGCAACTCGTGGTGCTGTGCTCTACTTTGTAATATCAGAACTTGTACACATCAACCATGTCTATCAGTTTTCACTGAATTGGTTTCATAAGATCTTTGTAGATTCTATAGATAATGTGAAAAAAAGTGACATTTCTCTCAGTGATTCTCTTTCAAGTACAAAAATAAGTGAATATAAGGTACAAAGTGAAGAAACATTAACAAAAAGTGAGACTGAGATAGATCACTTCAAAATACATATTGATGATATAATTGAGACACTAACATATCATGTCTACGAGGTACTTAAATATCATAATACATACATTATTTTCATCCAATAGGACTTGCATATGTATTTGGCAAATGTGGCAAATATTAATGTGTTACATGTTTTTTTTTATTTTGCAGACAGTTTCTTCAGCTGTGTTCAATAAAAATAAGCTATGCTTTGCTTTCCTGCTTTGCACAGCAATCATGAAAAATAATTATGGTGAAAATGTATTCACAAATAAGCTTGGATTTATATCAGAGAATGAGTGGAATTTCTTCCTGTACTCTGGCATGATAGCAAATATTAAGCAACCATCAATCTCTGACTGTAATGGTAAACAAAAAATATTAATATTTTCAATAAAAAAATGTGTAAAGATATAATGTGCTCTCAGGAATGGATTTTGTCATCCTTGAGTAAATATGTAACATACATGTAAATTATAGTAAGAATTGGCCATAGAAAACTATGTAATCAACATACCATATTTCAATTGAGCTAAGCAATTACTTTTAGATTTTATAATGCTGTCCCTAAAATTTTTGTGAACAATTATAAAGTTGGTTGAAAATTGTCAAAATAAGAAATGTGAATACTGAGTAAAATTAATCAAAAATATGCCAAATCTTTATATGTTATTTCTAATGTTACGGGCATTGATTAATAGTTAATTTTCTAAGTGTAAGGGTTTGTATATCTATGTATGTATGTGTGCTTATGTGTGTGTTTGTTAGGGATATACACCCTAGCAGAACCTGCACGGCAGTCAGGCAGGCAGGCAAATATGTGAGATAAACGTTGTTGTAGCTTACACTCAGTAAAACAGATACAATGTGCTAGTTAAATAGTTTATTCCAGTAAGATTTTTAGCATAGTCAAACAGTCCATATATCATACACTAGTTCAGTCCGTCCGGGGATTAACCAGTTGCAAAGTCCAGTGTCGAAAAAGAGGTCATTAAACTTACAAATATCAGTCCAGCAATATATCTCTTCGCAGTAGAGATATGAAGAAGTTAAACCTCCTTTCTTCCTTCAGCAACAGCAGAGAACACGCAGTTAACAATCCATCATCGTCAGCAAGCAATCCAGTAAGCCAGCAATCAATCAAGTTCTCTTGCTCCCTCTTATGGCGCTTTACAGCCGCACCCAAAATTACATGCTTTGCAGTTAAAGTGACACACACTTAAACTCACTATCATAGTCTATATATATTATTTTACCCAAACTACGTTAGGTAACCTATGTTATTCCTAACAGTGTTTTATAAGTGTGAAATATGGTCATGTCACTTTTTTCAGTGCTGTTCACTTTGTTCACTTCGAACAGTCACTAAATGAAAGATAGTAAATTGAGAATTACCTGTACTATGTTACATGACTTAAGAGGAAATGGAAATAAAAAATCAATTAAATGAATAAAAGAAAACTTTTTTTCTCTTTTCCTGACATTTCTCAGATCAGATATCTATTCCTACAGATGTTTCTTCCTAAGCATAGCAGATATATGCTTATTTAACTCTTCTGGCCAATCCCATGCTACCAGTGAACAGGGACTTGTATAAATTCCTTTTCTCTTGTCTCTTAATTATGTTGTTTTCCTTCAGTTGCTTTATTATTTTCTTATCTACCAATATTTTAACAGTGGAGATAGCAGAAGTACCTATCAATTCCCAAGTAGATATTTGATTTCTTCTGTATTACAGTTATAGAATTGTAGCTTTAGAAAGCCACACAGGCTTTCAAGACTCACCAAGCACCTGTTGGGTGCTAAAATCCAAATTATTTTTTCCTATTTGACAACTCTCAGCACTTAATGGAAGCATATCAGACAGGTAAGTATCTAATCTTTGCTTGAACACATTGATGAAGGGTAAAGGGAAAATGACTTTGCTTGGTAAATTGTTCTGATGTAGGATTGTTCTTATTTTTAGGAGGTTTTTTCTATTTTTTTAAAATATTCAACAGGAATCTATCTTCCAATAATTTAAATCCATTATTCCTGATTCTTTCTTTTGGAATCTGAGAAAAACTATCTTGATCTTTTTCCATGTGACATCCTTTCTGATATTTGAGGAGTGCTGTCATATCTTATTCTCCATAATTTCTTCTAAGACTAAAGATATGCAACTCTTAGAGTCATTCTTTATAGGACTTAGTTTCTAATTCCTTGTCAACTTTGTTGCCTTTTTCTGAACTAATTCCAGTTTCTTTGATTCCTTCTTAAATTATGGTGCCAAGAATCACTTACAGTTCTGAAGTTCTTTGGATTCAATAGAATAGACTAGAAAAATTATGCCTGGTAATGTCATTCTTTGTAGGATTTTATAGGGATTGGTATCTTGAATTCATGAGCAAAATTGCTTTGCTGAACTTTTTCACTTTTGGCCTTAGTAAAGATATGCAACACTTTCTGCAATTGTTACAATTAGCATCCCCTTTTCTGGGTTATCCTGATACAATTCAATTGTGCATGAAGAACACACTACGAAGTACCATATAAGCATAATATATCTTTAGAAATAAAGTTTTATATGTTAAAACAATATATTGAAGAAATTAGGAAAACTTTATATTACTATAAATATAGATGCATTTATGAGTTATTTTAACAAAGCAATCAAATGCATGTCTAGGCAGAACAACATTCCTTTTTGTTCAATATATAATTGATATGCTAGAGGAGGGTTGTGTTAGACTTTTGTTAAATTTAGGGGGCATTAGCAGGGGTGAGATTCTCCTGGTTCAGACCAGTTCGGGCGAATCCCTAGCTGCAATGCTCCGAACCAGTTCGATCCAAACCGTTTCGATCCAACGATCATGTGGGCCTGCCCACCTGTCCCTGTGCAGTACTCATCTATATATGCTCAGCTGATTCGCGTGGCAGAACGGATTGGTGCACCTCAGCTGTGTTACTTCCCTGAAGTAACATTGAAGGTAAATAATTGTGATAGCTATGCACGCGCGCACAGCTTCTTAGAGCATGCGATTAGCGAACCGCTTGTTGCACCAGGAGAATCCCGCCCTTGGGCATTACCCAAGCTATCTCTTAAAATGCCAAAGAAATGTTAACTCACAGCAAACTGATTGTGTCCTCCTGGTGATTAAACCAAGTTTAAGTACTACCACAGGATACAGCTTTATTCCACAAAATGGCTGAGAAGAGGAAAGGAAAGGAAAAACTGGGCATCTTGAATGTGTTAGGTCTAAAGATAAATTCTCTTCTAAATATCTTCTGTGTAAAGTCCCCTTTAGGGTGGTTCTGAAACTGACAACAGTTTCTGCACATATATTACTTTTAGTCACAACTTCTAGGATCGTGATTGGTCAATTGACTGCGTCTCAGATTGGCTTTTCAATCCACTAGTCAGGATGATCATGACAACATGGACATATTGCAGCCAAAATTAATAATTTGGTTATAATTTATGTATTGAATTAAATTCAGAATACTTATATGTGTCCTAATTAAATGTTTCATATTATTTTATTAGGTTCATGTGTATTTAACAAAACGGCTCCATTCCACTGGATAAATGAAATAATGTGGAAAGAATGTCAGTGCATGAGTACTCAAATACCTGCATTCAGCCTATTGTGCAGTTCTCTGTCAACATATCCTCAACAGTGGAAAGATTTTCTAGATAGTGAGAATGTGTATGATTTAATTAGTACATGTTATAGACCATTATCACAAAAGCAAGGTAACTGCTAAAATATAATGATTTTTCTGAGCTTATACAATTTCAAAAAAATGCAAGTTTGAAGTTTCTGTACATCCTTTACCTCTACCTCTTCCAAAACCACCTGGAAGAGGAGCTAATTGTTTTTTCTAACTAGATGTTAAAAATAAATTAATTAAATCATGTATCTAAATGAAGATGGGAAATGTATAGATGTGCAAAAGTCAGCAAGTTGTATGCCTTGTGCCTTTTATGTACTTTATGTAACTGTAATGTTGTGGCCCCCCGATTTCCGAGCCTATGCTGTCAGAGGAAGAGGACCTGGAAGATGAGGAGGAAGAACTGGGAATGCCTTCCTCCCCAGGACCTTCCTCTCTGGCAATGCCTTCCTCCCCAGGACCTTCCTCCCTGGTAATGCCTCAGGTTCCATCAGACAACCGAGAGGAACAGCCTGAGATTAATCAGGAGAAAGGCATGTCGGAGCAGCCCCTGACAGGGAGTAAAGAGGAAGAGTGTTGGCTCAACCCTAAGCAGCGTCGTAGGGAGAAACGTGAGCAGCAACGTAGGAGGCGTTGGAGGGTCAGAGAGTGAGCTGAGTCATTGAGCCACACCCCACAGGGGATAAAAGTGGGTGTGTTTTCTCCTTAAACTTTGTACAGGACAAAGTTTAACCTTACTTCAGATTTTCTCAGTGAATGATTATTTTTGTGGACTGCCTTGTGATTTTCTGTGAGTAAAACTTATTTGTTATCAGTTCGGACTTGGCAGGCAGGATGTGGTGGAATGCCAAGAATATTATCAATTCCAAAGAATTAACTCTGTGAAGTCCGAGCCAGCTTGCCTGCCTGTGTTTGTTTGTGTGTGTGTGTACTCCTTCATCTTTTGGGACAGAGGAAAGGCGAGACAGAACACTGTAATATACATACTAACATGCCTTACATATGATACAAACCAAGTCTAGATTATTGATGTCCTAAGAGTAAACTAATAATTTGTTCTATGTCATCATTTCCCATAACTCTTATATTCAAATTGGCATTTCAACTCCACCTTTAATGAACCCTAGACATCATGTATAGTCTAAATAAATAATTACATTTAAATAATGTTTTTGGTTTTTGTAAAATAAGCATATCCCTAAATACCACAGTATAAAAATATAACTCACAATAAAATAATTCAAAAAGTTAAAATATTTAGATTACTAAAATTAAGGAAGGTGAAGATCTTGAAGCCACTTTAAAAGATTAGTCAATGTTAGTCATATTATCTGATCCTTTGAAGGCAAGAGATCACTACAGGACAGAATACTTTTCCACATAAATCACATTTTCCATAGAATTTGCATATTAATGTGAAACGATTTGCTGACCAATGAGTAGGAGGATAACAGTTAAATGTAAAAGTTTATTCAATGATTGTTTGGTTTGTCTTGCAGGAACTTATAAATATTCCACATTATATGCTTTTTCCTGATCTATTTTTGCACTTTTTATGGACTTTTTATTCCTTATATGGCCTTTTAAAACACTGATTGCTCACTTCTCTATCCTAGAACATCTTGACTTGCGTACTGATTTATTGTCTTCTTTTTTGTGCATGACCTTAAGAAATAACCAGACAACCTATGCCTCATTGGGTCATTGTTGTTGTTGTTGTTGTTGTTGTTTCAGAGATATTTCCTTACCTAAATAAAAAATAAATAGAATGACCAAGAGGGGCAAATAAGCAGTGGAAGCAAATGACTTCCTTCCTTCCACATTTCCTCCTCCCCTCTCCCATCCCAGCAGGCAGGTAAATGGTTAGTTCTAGGTGGGTGAGCAAGGGATTATGAGACTGTCTGGGAAACTGTCAAAACGTGGGAAAATAAAGATCATATGCAGCAGCCAGGTAGAGCAACAACAGCCACTAGAAATAAAGCAGCTATAACGTTCCCAAATTTAAATATAGGTTCCATATTTTTTATATGTTCTGTAAGTTAGTCCATTTGAGGTACCTTGATTCAAAAATTGTTTTCTATGAAGTACAATTTCGCCCAGTTAAAAGTTATGACAAGAATTTTGATCAAGACAATACACTTGAAAAGTTTAATTACATTACATTAAATAAAGTTATAATACTGAAAGAAGTACCAATTTGTTACAATGTTTATACAGTATAATTGTTAAACATTTCAACATTTCAGTAATTATTTAATAATTACTTTAATCTGTTAGCAGATTCAGAATCACAGCTAGCAGGAGAAAGTGAAGATGATGAGGAGAGTATACCTGTAATTTTCCCTTGGGAGAAGCTTTCTCCATTTGAAAGACTTATCTTGGCAAGTAATGAAAATATTACTGGTTAAACTATTTTGACATCTAGAAGAAACATGTTTCTAGCTGATTTGAAAGATATCTGACAGTTAATGATAATGGCATACAAACTTCAGAAACTGTATTGTATTGGGAGGGCCAAACATTTTTGCTTGGGACTAGACTGTCATCTGCTGTTTCTGAGGACTGTGAGGGCATGGTTTTGACATCTCAACTGTGGGAAAGGATGAAATTTTCAGGTCTTTTGCTAGATGTTTTCATGATTGAAAAGAGGGTTAAGGGAGGGGCAAAATTTATGTGTTGTGTTTCTCCTTTAAGCAAGACCCAGAACTAAACACTACAACATTTTTTGTAAAACAAGATGTTGTCATTATAACTTTCATTTTTGCTAGATAAAAGTTCTCCGTTCAGAAATGTTAAACCATGCAGTACAAATATTTGTAACTGAGAAATTGGGAACTAGGTATTTTCAGACTGGAGGAATTAATTTAAAAGGAATGTATGAGGAATCTGAATCTACAACTCCACTAATTCTCATCCATACTCATGGTGAGCATTTTATAGCGTGTATGTGTTCCTCTGCGTACAGCACACGTGTATATATGTATTCGTTTATAAATTATTATTTATATTTACTGTATATGTGCAAATAATACATTGATCATCTAACTAAGACTACTTATTACTAATAAGATCAGCACATTCTGATTGCTTCCACCCATTTTATCCAATCCAGCAGGAGTTGAATACTGTGGGTACCATTGGCCAATGAATATCTATCTGCTGGTGGGGATTTGTAGGAGAGCCATTCCTCCATAGTGCCCACCTTTGTATAATATCATCCCTCCAGAAATTAGTTTAGGTCTCAATTGTATATTAATCTTTAAAATTCTCCAAATCAATATGTATGTTTGAATCCAGAATTTTCCACCGAATCCACCAAGCATCAAATGTCCCTTCATTTTTTTCACATTTCCAACATGAATTTGAAGTGCCTTTATAGTTTCTAGACAATTTCTCTGGTGACATATTTATTTTCCCATTGATCCATCTGTTTGTTATAACGATTATTTAGCCTACTTCATCATATGTACTTTCATTTGTTTTGTTGTTATTGTTGCTGTTTTAGGATGTGTAAGTTGTACAGAGTTTTGTGACTGAGGCAGCATAGAAATTGTGCTAAATAATTAAATAGATAAATAATAAATAAGTATAGTGAATCTGTTCTGAGTACATTGCAGAAATGTTATACATCCTGTCCACAAATAGCCTAGATTGTTCTTTCCTAAGTGTGCCATTCACATTCCAACCACTGATTAACAATCTCTTTAGCTTTCCTCTGAGAATACCTCCACTAGATGGTCCTTGGATTGCACTTGGTGCCAACTTTTTATATTTATCCAACATTACAGAAAGGACACACGTTTTCTAGTCAATGCAGCCAAATAATCAGGCAATGCTCTTAACCATATTGCACTGACTGACTGCTTTATTCCCAGATTATTTGAAGGATTACCTTTTACCTGATTGCATTTACCTGTCCCATCAGGTCCAGTAGGAAGAGTAAGTTCTGAATCCTGTCTGCTACAGAATTTCATCTGGTGGAATCCAGAAATCAAGCCTTTTCTGCTATGGCTCCCATTTTCTGGATCATCATTTTATCTTAGGTTAGGCTAGACCCATTCCTATTAGCCTTCCCAAAGGCCCAAAACATGGTTTTTTTCAGTGATCATAGGGATCTCATGGGGAGCTTGCAATGTGGTTGTAGAATGTTAGGTAATTGCTATCTCCTGCAATCGTGGTTTATTTATATTTTCATTTTTATTCATGGTTCAGTGTTTCAAGATTGTTAAATTGTTTTAAATGTTACTGTGCTTGAATGCCACCGGAATCACATTTTGTGAGAGGGATGGCTATATACATTTGCTAAATAAATAAATAAAATTCCCTTTAGATACAGCTTGCTACTTAATCTTTTCTATAATACACAGAAAAAAAAGTAGGCGGTTTCCTAACCTGTAGCTTCAAATATCATAGTGATCACCTTACATTCACCCCTCCTCCATTACTGTGCAAAAGCTCTTTTCGAAATCATTTAATCGAGCAATTGTTACAGTATTGCAGGGGTGTAATGTAATGGGGGGGGGGGGGAATGTGGTATGTGTTGACACTCATTCTTTTATAAAATTATGAAAGTACAGGAATCCTGTTTTCCTTCCAAAAAGTTTTCTTCTAACATATGTTTTCTCATTCTGTTACAAAAGATATAAATATATATTGCTTCACTGACACAATATGTCAGAGTAACATTGTTCTAAGTAAATGTACTGTCACATAAAATAATAAAAGGTATTCTTTTATATGTTGTATAGGGATAGACATTACAGCAGTTGTCTTGCGCTTTGCCCAAGAAATAAAAAGTACACAAAATGTGCAAATGCTATCTCTGGGACGTGGCCAAGCCAGCAAAGCAGAGGAATTTATATATAAAGCACAAATACTGGGTGAACAGTGGGTATTCCTTCAGAATTGCCATCTTGCAACTTCATTTATGCCAAGATTGTGCAAAATTGTTGATTCGTAAGCAGTTTTTAAATTTATTTCTATATGTCATTTATTCTCAGATGGAAAGGAACCAGATTAGGCTAATTTTAGTTCTGTTTAGTTCTTGGTAGTCTCTGAGTTTGGTTGTTTTCTGGAGATGTTTCATTATCAGACAAAGATCATTGTTGTGTGTGAAAGAATGGAATTTGCTGACTGGCCTACTAGTCTTGGTAGGAATCCAAGTTGAAACTGTGATTGAGCCTGTCCTTGTGTTGCAAGGTTAGGTTTTTGTCATCTTTTTTGACTAGTGTTCATGCAAAATATTTGCGGTTCATCTGTCTATCCAACATCATAATAACAGTCCTTACATTGTATATTATAAATAATTCTGCTTCCTGCCATCTTCTATCCTGCTATGAATATATTAGCAGAAAAAGCCCACACCTGAACCCAGCAGGATCTCTGGCAAAATCTCTTTATATCCTTAAATAATAACTTGTAAAGAGATAATTAAATATCTACACCTAAAATAGACAGTAATGATGTTAAACATTATTTTTCTATAGAGATTCTCAGTCATCCAGGTCATGATTGTCCCAAAAGTACTTTTCAGAAGGCAACTGGACTTTGTTTTTTCCTTTAAGATGTTTCGCTTCTCATCGAAGAAGCTTCTTTGGTTCTGACTAAATGGTGGGGAATGGAAGGATTTATATTCTTTTCTTTGAAGTCATCTTGTCATTAGCACTCGGAATGCAAATGGATATTGAACCTTCCTGAAACTTCAGCAGTTCCAAGAAGGGTCCACACCCATTTGCACTCTGTTTCAGGTGACCCTGAGTGTACAGATAAATCCCCAAGTGGCCTCAGTGACCAATCGTCAGAGTGCTAATGACTAGATGACCAAAGAAAAGAATATAAATCCTTCCAGTCCCTACCATTCAGTCAGAATGCTTTTTGAATGAAAAGGGAACTGTCTTTAAGGAAAAAACAGTTGCCTTTTGAAAAGCACCTATGCCATTAACATTATTTCTTCTAATTTTTATGCATTCTTTTGGTAAAATAGAAATGATGATTGGGCACTATCATGTATCATGTTTCAAGTAGTAAAATTGTTATAAAAATGATTACTTCCATAGCTTTGTCCTACCTGATACAACTATAAATCCAGGATTTAGACTATGGTTAAGTTCAACACCAGATACATCTTTACCCATACCTATACTGAGAAGAGGGCTAAAGGTAAGATTTCAAACAATCTATTATTCAGTAATTTATATAATTACTAATTGAGAGCATTATTTTATTTACAAAGGATGAAATATAAGCTAATATGAGTTGAGCAATGGTAAATAAGTTAACTGATAATGAAAATGTAGAGACAAATAATGTACGTAATCAAACATTGACAGAATCCTGTTGTTTTAGAAGAAAATTGAGTATTTCTGCTGGCCCAAAATTGATTTTAGCACACTTGATGTAGAGAGAAATAAGATGGCCTTGTCAAACATATGAAGAAATTATTGCCAGGGCTTAGGCGGCTGAAGCATTTTCAAAGTCCAGAAGAGACAGGATTCAAAAGCATCTCAGGCAGACACTGCCCTAATTCATTGAACTATAAGAAGGAGGAGGTATAAGCCAATGGGATTTAAAAGATTCTGTTACTATAGACAATCTCAATAAAAGTTCTTTGTGTGTTTATTTGTTTTATTGATAAATTTCCCACTGAATTTTTACTCATAATTTGTTTGTTTATTTCTTCAAGATAGTAATAGAAACTCCACAAGGACTAAAAGGAACATTACTTCAAACTTTTGGATTAAGTGACACTAGTGTAGTAACAGAAACTATATTTAATAAGACCAACTGTGGGCCATCATGGAAAAGATTGTTGTTTAGCCTATGTTTCTTCAATGCTGTCATTCATGAAAGAAAGAAATATGGAGTTTTGGGCTGGAATATTCCATATGCTTTTAATTCTTCAGATTTAGAGGCAAGAGAAAATGTTATATAAAATTATATTTGTAAATTAAAATGTATTTTGCTGAATCTACTGCTCTGAAAGGGTCACCCCCTCCAATATACACTACATAAACATGAATGAATGAATGAATGAATGAATGAATGAATGAATACAAAATTATGCATATACCCGCATATATGACACAGAGAAACAACATAGTCTAGTTTGGATGTATACATGTACAGGGTGAGAAATCTTTATTTGATCATTTTATTAATAAGGACACTATGAGAAACTTTGCTGAATACCTTTCTGAAGTCAAGCTATACTATGTCTATAACATTTCCCCAATCTATCAGGTTCATAATCATAAAATAATAACTTTTTAAAATAATATTTTATATATTTATGTATTATATATTTATATATTAACTACAATAATAAAAGGTAATAGAAATTTAAAAGAAAATACGAGAAAAAGGGTACAAGAAAGGAAAAAAGGAAGGAAAAAATAGAAAAATAGAAGAAAAATAAACTAAGAAACTTCCCGCTCTCATCACAAGTTTAAATAATTTCACTATCTTTTCTCCTCTTAATTAAAAGATATAAAACTCTTCATTCTATAACTCAACTCTTAGGTATAGGAAAATTCAATGGGCAGTGTCTTTTCCAATCCAGGTTTCAGAAAAAAGTATAAGAACCCTAAAATAATATTAGTTATTTATCCCAACTCAAGCAAACCCAATGCTTACTCTTTTCCAGTCCAGATACCACCAAATTTTAATTCAAAGTACCATTCCTCAAAAATATCTCCAAGCATCATTATAATAAGTAGCTTTTGTTATTATGTCTCCAAAATTAAAATTTTTCTTCCCATGAATGCACTTACTGTTTAAATTCAGTTTTAAAGCCTTAATTTTCAGAATCAAATATTCTAATGTTTACTGACCCCTTAATCCATGTAAAACTTTCTACATCCAAACCTTGTCTTATTTTTTGCTGTTTATTTTGAATTCTTAAGCATTATAAAGATACAGCTTCATTTTCTTATGCCAACTAGTATTTCCAGCATTGTGATTTCCTCTAACTTCTTTAAAGCAGTTAATAGCAATTTCTAAAAGTGGTTGGCAAAGGAGTTTCAAAATTAGTGTCCTTTAAAAGTTCTGTGTCTGGAACAATAATGGCAATTTCTCTCATCTCCTGGTTCTCTCACCTTCTGGACACCACTGCTTGCAATCTCCGCATGTGGTAGCTATATGGGCAATATCTCATCCTCTCCTTTTCAAGAGAAAGTCAGAAGAACCAATTTATTAATTGATGCCTTGTTCTTAGCCATAATTTTCAGCTCTGCTTTTTTGTCTTCAGTCCATTATTTCTTCCCCAGAAGTCTCCTATCATCAAATCAAATCAAATTATTCTAGCATGATATAAATTCAGTATAAATTCATGTTAGCTCTTTTTAATTAGTGAATTCTTACCTTAATGCTCACAGATATGCTGTTGACTATCTGCTCTTCTTTATAGAAGAACAAGTCTAAACGTTCAGTCTTGTTTAATACATTTTAATTTTTTATATATCACACTTTCATTTCCAATTATTAATTAGTTTGGAAATATTACTATATATAAAAATGATTCCTCAGAGCAGCCATAAAAGTTCTGTGTAAGAGCCTCATGAATCCAAGTGCAATTCAGCTTATTCAACTAATTATAGATTCTTTGAATTCCAAACCTTGACTCCAGATTTTTTAAAAAAATTATTTCCTAATGATAACTTTTCTTTTTCAGTTTTCTATCAAAATATTGGAAGTGCTCCTTGAGAAGCACCAAAGGATTCCTTGGACAGGATTGCATTATTTGACTGGAGAAGTAACATATGGAGGCCATGTAACTGATAATTGGGACCGTCGATGCTTGCTTAGCATTTTAGATAATTTTTATAATCCTTCTGTACTGCAAGAAGATTTTGTTTATACTGCTGATGAGGTATGAGAAGTATTTTTCATTACGTTGCTGTTTTAATATCACAGATTTACAACTGAGTGCACAAAGTAGGTTTACTCTGAAGAACAGATGTAACAGTCATAAAAATAATCTTCAACCATTTGTATTATTTATTTGGTTTGTCCTGCATTTATCTCTCTATCATCTGTCTGTCTGTCTGTCTGTCTGTCTGTCTGTCTATCTATCTATCTATCTATCTATCTATCTATCTATCTATCTATCTGTCATCTATTGTCAAGTCAAGGCAGTGTATAGTGCATGAAATCCAGATGGATGGCTTTGAGTCAGTCACTCTTTCTTAGTTCAACTTACCTCCTATTTCTCCCCCATACACAACCGTATAAAATGAGATGAGCTAAGAGAATGACTGGCTCAAAATCACCTAGCTGGATTTCATGCCTAAGACATATCTAGAACGTATAGTCTCCTAGTCCAGCACCTTAGCTACTACACATTTGTTTGTAGAGTGTTTATGCAGAAGATAGAGAACAAATCAAAACTAGACGTTGGAAATAAAAAATAGACATTCGGAAGATACAATTTCCAATAAACATTATAAAACAACTTCCCAGAAATCTGACTTTTTCAATGATGGAACCTTGTGTTTCAGGAGAGATTGGTTTTTGAATAAAATTAAAAGGAGGCTGAATTTCCAAATTCTTCCTTGAATATTGGCTTGGAATAGAAATCTCCAAGGCATGTTTGAGCTCAGTGATTGCATTTATAGTTTTACCCTAGTTATAGTAGGAACCCATGATTCTAAGCAATGCATGTACAAAAGGTACTAAACTTGCATTGCAATGGTGTGATGCTAGTTTCACTCATTACCCCATAACAGATTTTTCTGCTGAGAACTTATGTTGTTTATTTATAACATTTTAAAAATTGCCATCTATGACTTAATATACCCACACACAAACAGAGCCAAAATCACGTAAGCTCTCACACAGAGGCTTACACTTGTTTTAACAAAGGTAAATAATAGTAAGTAATTAGAATTTGTACAGAAGGAGCAACATCAGGCTTGCCAATATGCAGCTTAATTCTATAGTATTCAGGGAAAGTCTGGCAAGTGAGAAAAATTTGTCTTCGTGAATGAAAAGACAACCATTCATAGAACAAAACTATAGGTGAGCAACATGTGCTTTCTAAGCCCATGCTTTATCTCCTCTTACTCTATGACAGTTCAGTGTTTATCCCATTCATAATTCACTCTTAAGAAACAGGGGCATCTACAGAAAAAGTGAAAAATTCAACCACAAGATTGAAGTTCTGCATGATGTGCATAATACATATCACACACAAGTTAAAAAGTAGTGAGGCTTCAATTGCAGAATTGCATTCACCATCTTGACTTTTTTTCTCACCCTCTGTGTATGCACTTGCTAGAAATAATGATACAATACTAGCAACAATATTATGTAAACCTTGGATTTCTGGTCCCTGCGGTTTTCACTATGATTTTGGCAATGTCAGGTAGATCTACAGTACGTATACTTGACTTACAAAATGTATGATACATATTTTAGCTATTCTAATAATTTTATTTCAGATTTCCATTTTTTTTGTTTTAATGCTTATATCCATGTTTCATATTTAGGGAAAGATAGCAAAAAATGGAGAGAAGGGACTTGCAGGGAAAAACTACCTTTGGAGTAAGCCAATGGGCTAACTAGAAAACCCTGGTTAATGAAGATGAAGAAGCTGAATAGAAACTACTATTTCTTCTAGAATCCTTTATCTTCCAAAATTCAAACCTCTTAAGGACTACAAAATATCAAATCCAGTATTCAGAAAATATCTGACCATAAATTATGAGTTTATTTGTTAGCTCTCAGCAGATTTGCATTCTTCAATATATTTGATCAATTTTAAATGCTAATTTGAAGTGAAGAAGTAGAAAGATGATTGCATTAATAATATAAGAAAATATATGTTGAGCATACATTGTATTTGAATGGCCAGGGACAATAAAGCATTTAACAATAATTTTTTCAGGTGTATCGACCAATATCTGAAGTAGATAGTTTAAAAGACTGCAGAACCTATCTACAATCTCTTCCAGAAGTGGATTCTCCAGAAATTTTTGGAATGCATCATTGTGCTGAAAGACAATATTTAAAAGCTCAGGCAGAATCATTTATCACTTCAATTGTCAGTACCCAACCAACATATAGCACAGACATTATCAGGTTATTATTTGAAATTTCCTCCTCCTCTTTCTTCCCCCACTTCCTCTAATATAGCACAAGTAAAACAATTAATAGTTGCTTAAAGCCTAGAGTATCAATATATACCTATGTAAGTGTCAAGGGACATATAGAAACTTTCACTGATTTCAATGTTTGTTTTCCAACTGCAAAGAGCAATGAGAAAGTACCACATTAAATAAGCTTGGTGGAATAAACCAGATAGAATCAGTAACTTCAGCACCTCATGATCTGCCACAAAATTATACAAAGGTTAAAAAACTTCCTTTTCCCAATGACTATTTGTAGAATGGACAAAATAAGTATAGGGATTTTGTAGATATGATCCCATTAAATGCAAACCTTAAAGATTATTTTCTGGCATTTGTAGATAATGTGTGCATGAAAGATATGGAAGAGAGACAGAATGACCATATGTTGTCCATTAGTTACATGTGATTGTTTGCATTTGACTATGTACATCAAAGTATCAAAGACTATATTCATGCAATGCAGTTGAGTTGTCTTCATTCAGAATGTTGACATTACCCAACTTGTGGATATGTGCTGTGACATATTTACCAAGTAAACAAATCCAGAAAGGTAGTCTAATACAACATCTCCTTAACAGAAAAAAAAGTGAGGAAAAAGTGATGTAAAGGTAGTCCTTGATTTACGATCACAATGGATCCCAAAATTTGTGATGTTAAGTGAGACATTTGTTAAGTGAGTTTTGACCCATTTTACAACCTTTCTTGCCACAGTTGTTAAGTGAATCACTGCAATTAGTAATCTGATTGTTAAGTGAATCTGGCTTCCCCATTGACTTTATCAGAAGGTCACAAAAGGTGATCACCTGACCTTGGGACACAGCAACAGTCATAAATATGAACCAGTTGCCAAGCATCTTAATTTTGATCATGGGGATGCTGTAAAGGTCATAACTGTGAAAAATGATCATAAGTAACATTTTTCAGTGCCATTGTAACTTTGAACACTCACTAAACTAATTGTTGTAAGTTGAGAACTACCTGTATAAATAGTGGGTTATTAACTTGGTTACTTCCCATAGATAATTTTAAGTTTATTTTTGATCTCCCTATTGTCTTAGTGATAGAATGGGCCAGGATGAAATTGTACTGGGAATAGTATCTGATATTCTAATAAGGCTCCCATTGACCGTAGAGAATATGGAAGGGGCATCTACCAATGAATATGTGTCTACAGAAATTGTAACCCTGAGAAGTTTCATGTCTGGACCAATTTGGGCTGCACTTGTGAAAGCTACAGAAGGTCAGAACTTCATTTCATAGAATTTTCATATCATATCATCATTTACTTATATATAGAAAAAATGATATCTGTGCATTTTTGTGTAGTATTATATAATATATATAATAGTTATACATTTGTACACAAAGAGCAAGAACAAATAATGTGTGTTCATGCATGCATATTATGTATAATTACTAGCCTAAATCAATCCATTACCAAATAAAGGCTTCTTCGTTGAAGGTTTTAGATTTCAAACTCCTTTTCAGGCCAGCCACAATGCAGGTTGTTAGATCCGACATTAAACAGCATGTAGTTCACAACCTTCAATAAAGAGGCCTTCATTCTACAGTAGCTTGTTTGAGGCAGTTAATAGTAAATTTACAAATATGTCTATGTGTGTGTTTGCACATTTGTGTGCTTGTATCCTATTAATTATTGAAATAACAAGGAATAAAATAACAAATAGTATCAATAAATAGTAATTAAAATATAAAATTTGTGAAGCATTATGCATACAGTGGAAAATTTATAATTCTCTGTATATTGCTGATCTACAACGTCCAGCATCTTTCACCTTTTCCTAAACTGATTGATCTGGATACCTTGATTTAACTTCAGTTATAACTGGAGACCCTGATTTCTCCATGTTTATGCACCTTCCCACCTTGGGAGCAGCCACCCCAAGCCAGCCATATCCTGTGCTGCAGCAGCCATATATCCACCTGCCAGCCTGTTTGAGAGCCACTGAGGACTCACAACTTCTGGATGGCTTCTCCATTAACTCTGCTTGTTGGAAGCTAGCAGGAAGTCACAAGGAGCTACCCACAATCTTCACTTAACAACAGCAGAAGGGATTGAAGACGTTTCCATTACTAAGTGATACCATCACATGATGTCATACTTCATAACTGCATTGCTTACCCACTAAATTCCAGCTCCAATTACTGTCATTAAACAAGACTACTGTAGTATTCCATAACTCAGCTTTATACAAATACAGCTTTTTCTCTACTTAACAGGAAAGTCTGTTATGATGATAAAAATTTAAAGGCATGAAAGTTATTTCTTTTAACTGATAAAAGGAAAAGCAGTTACTAAAACAATGACCAGATATAGATTATCCTGCTCCCCGGAAGAAGCAAGTACATTGAAAGGGCAGGAGAAAATGGGTAATTTTGCTACCATAGATTGCCTGCCTCTTATACAGATTATTCTTATTTGAAAGTAGGCATACTTGCTGGAATTCCTACATTGTAACCTTAGCCTTGTTAACCTGTTCTCTCTCTCTCGCTCCCTCCCTCCCTCCCCCTCTCTTAATTTCACCATAGATTTTTATTCTATTACCAGTTCACCTTTGCTACCTGTCTTGCGCCAAGAGATAGACCGTTGTAATAATTTACTATACTTAATAATTCGGTCATTACAAGAACTTCAGCAAGGAATCAAAGGAAAAATTATCTTCACTAAAAGATTAGAAGAACTTTATAATTCAATATTGAAAGGCAGAGTAGCTGATCTGTGGGAGGTATGTGAACAATCTCTTATTGTACTCTTGTTAAATAATAATAATAATAATAATAATAATAATAATAATAATAATAATAATA